CTGAGCTTTTCTGCTCAAGGCTAGCACTCTACCACCTGAGCCACAGTTCCACTTCTGGCTTTTCAGTGGCTAATTGGAGAGAAGAATTTCTTGGACTTTCTTACCCAGGCTGACTTTGAACCACGACCCCCAGACTTCAGTCTCCTGAGTAGCTCAGATTACATGTGTGAGCCAATGGTGCCTGGCACAAAACACGTTTATAGCAATTATATACTAAAAAATACAACACTAATGAAAAAATAAGACCTATGGAAAGACATACCATGTCTTGACCTGGAAATAATAGTGTCAGTGTAAGCATAATGCCCACCTTTGGTCCTGGCTCCGCCCAGAGCTCCTGCCAGCCCCGGAGCTCCTGCCACACAGCTGCCCAGACCCACCTGAGCTCCCACCCACCTCACTTCCGGCCCCCAGACCCTCCGGCTACCTGGGTAGGGATGGTGCCGCGTGCTCCCTCTGTGGGAGATACGGCTGCTCTGATAGCCTGCCTGCCTCCAGGAGGCCAGGAGCAACGGTGGGCATAATGCTTTCCTTCAGTCCTCCCTAAGTTGATCTAATGTATGGCTGTAATCAGCTCCTATCAAAAGGTTTTTGTATGCATATACTGGGGAAAATATTTTCAAACCACATATCAGGTGAAGGCCTCTAGGGCATATAACTCAACAGTTTAAAAAATAGACCAAAGACCCAATGAATTTCAAGAAGAGGGTAAACAGATTGCAAATAGAGATGAATTATAAAGTTCATTAGCAACTAGGAAAATGCAAATTGAACCCACAATGTGATATGATCACACACTTTTGGGAATGGCTAAAAGAGCAACAGCCAGGTGCTGGTGGCTCACGCCTGTCATCCTAGCTACTCAGGAGGCTGAGGTCTGAGGATTGAGGTTCAAAGCCAGCCCGGGCAGGAGAGACTGTGAGACTCTTATCTCCAATAAAAAACTAGAAAACTGGAAGTGGCCCTGTGGCTCAAGTAGTAGAGCTCTAGCCTTGAGCTGAAGAGCTGAGAGACAGCGCCCACGCCCAGAGTTCAAGCCTCATGATCGACCAAAAAAAAAGAGGTTGCACAGTGACCTACAGATTCATGTGGGCCAGGGAGCCAGGCAGCTGGACGGTGCCCAGGTCAGATGGTGGAGAGGCCATCGGGACCTGTGGGTCCTGGTCAGAAGCTGGGAACCGTGCAGAAAGATCTCTTCCTGCTGGTTTCCCCAGTCACAGGCTGCGGTCAGAATATTTTCCGCTTCCCCATCCAGGACAAGGCGCCGGATGGAGACTGAACACGGAGCGCTGTGGCTTCAGGAGAGTGAACCCCGCTGCTCCCTGTGCCCACCCACCTGCCGTCCATACCATCGCGTTGGAGAAGCTCAGCAGGCTGACCGCCAGCAGGAAGACCCAGCGGCGAGCATAGGCTCGGTGGCCCTGTGGGGGGCCCTCCATGGTCCCTGTCCTGGCCAGGAGTGTGGCAGCAGAGCAGGACCGGCAGGCTCAGCACTGCTGGCTCAGACTGCAGCCAGTCTCAGGGGTGGAGGGTGGGGTGGCGCATGTGGTGGGAAGGGCCAATGCTGCCTAGATCCTTCCAGGTTTCCCAGACCAAAATCCAGGCCAGGGTGAGGTCCCAGGTCCCCTCCCACAGGAACCACTCTTGTTGCAGGACACGCCCAGAGCCGTGTACCTAGGAAAGAAGACCTGAGGTCTCTCCACCCCATCGAACTCTGTGCTTCTCCAAAGCTCTCCCAAACCCTTGAGGTCAAAGAAAGCCAAAGGAAGAGGACAGAGGCCAGCCTGGAAGAGGAGACCGGGGTCTATCTGCAAAGAGCTGCAAATCCCAGCATCCAAGAGGACGGTGGAGCTGAGGCCGGGGAGAGCAGAGCGTGTCTGTCCAGCCACGTTCCCCCAGGAGCTGTCATGCTGCTTGGGGAGCAGCTGGGCAGCACAGGTGGGCAAGCTTCTGTCTGTGTAGGAGGAAGCGGCCCCGGGCCTCTGTCTTGCACCTGGCTTTCTCGGGAGGATCACAAACACCCAAACACTGCCCAGCCTCTGTAGGTTCGGGTGGAGCTGGTCTGGTCAGAGCTAGGAGCCAGTAGGAAGTCCCTTGTTGCTCATCCCTGTTTTCTGTCTCTCAACGTGTACTTTGCTTTCAACCACACCCATCTAAATAATCATTGTGTGTTTCCAGCCTTTGATGTACTCTTGGGGGTTGTGATCGGCACCCATTTTGGGATAAGCCCTGTCCAACACAAAGGAAGATGGACATCACCCAGAGGGCAGTGCCACTCTCCAAGACCTCAAATGGAGTCCTATGGGTCTCTCCATCTTTGTCCCATCTTCTCGTGCTCCTCTTCCTCCTCATCGCCTGCTCCCTCCCACCCCTCCATCCACAGCCCCTTCCTCAAGACCGGGTCCTTACGGTCTTCCTGCCCCACCTGATCTGGGGGCAGAGAGAGGGCCACAGAGGCCTCACTGTGGAAGGAGCTGGGTGGTGGGACTCCGCCTCAGCTGTCAGCCAGGGTGGTGTCTGAGCCTGCTCGGGGCAGTCACAGTGATTGCTTCTACACAGTCACATCTCTGTTCAGCCGTCTCCACCCCACTCGATTCCATCCTCTTGGGCTCTTGGGATAAATAGATGAGTTTGCAGAGTTGCAGGATGAAAAATCAGCCCAAATCAACCAGCTGAATGTCTATAACCTGTCCAACAGGGAACATGTGGGGCCCAAAATTAAATACATGACCTCAAAGAAAATTAAATACTCCAATAAACATAAACTTAACAAACAGATTTTTTTTTTGGGGGGGGGGTCCGGTCGTGGGGCCTGAACTCTGGGCCTGGG